GAACAAGGTCTTTCACTACTTTACAAACTACATTCACAAGAACCAACATTTCAACCCCTCTTCTTCCTCGCACAGGTACGAAGACCCCCTCGCCGAGGGTTGGAAGCCACTGGTGAGCGGTGTGCCGACCACTCGCTACCGCGTGCCTGACATCTCTCCCACAGATGACTACAGGTTCCGTGTTCGAGCCCTCAGCCCGTACGGTGTGAGCCCACCCTCGCATCCCACTGGACTCTACAGGAGGGCGAGTGAGTAATGATTTATTGTCTTTTCTTCGCCTTCTCTTCAGCCTTTGCATGTTTGTTTGTCTGTTTGAATAAAGAGAAGCGCATCGACACGATAACGGTAATTAAGTTCTGGGAAAATAGGACAGACAGACAGATAGACAGACAGACAGAAAGATACACAGATGGACAGACAGACAGACAGACAGACAGACAGACAGACAGACAGACAGCAGTGACGGCTTCCAACCATCCGGTTGTGGTGGTCAGAAATTTGACATTGGCATTCTTACTGCAGATTTATTCATTGCTTGTGTTCTATAATTTTCAGCTTCTACGTACATTTGTTTTAACTTATAGTTTTGATCTTACTGAGGACACACAAGGTTTGAAGACGTGCTGTTTTGGGGCAACTTAGTTTCTTAATCATGCCTAGTTTTCAATTATATTGTCTTTGTCTTAAACGTAAAAAGGCAGGCAATAACATGCATAATGTGGAACAATATGCAATCGTGTTTCTTATTTTTGAAGGATTGGTGCAACATTGCTCTTGATCTGCTGCTGATCGGACATATTATGTGTCCACTGAAGAAATATATTGCAGCTCACACACGTTTTGTGTTTGGTTTGTGTACAATAGGGCTTAATTTTCACGAGTTCAGTTGTATTATTGTCATTTGTTTATTAACACGAAAAAGTTATCTGCTTGCAATCCAAGAGTCGCACAGTTTCTTTCTCCTTGCACGCTCTCATTTGTAATGTTATCATCTACTTTCCGTCTCTTGTTGGATAATTTACAGTAAATGGAGAGAAATAAATTTATTTTTTAAACTTAAAGTAAAAATAAAAAAGGATGTTTACAAAATCACCCACCCTCCTTTTTTTTCTTTCTTTCCTCCCCCACCCTTTTCCAAATTTACCATGCGTTCTCCAAACATATGTTTTCCCTTTGGACCATGTGCCATGGTTTGGCAGTTATTTAGAATGGTCAAAGAGTTCAGAATCAACTCATTGTGTTTACAGGTCCCATGCGTCCTCTGGCTCAAGATCTGGCCATCAGTGACATGAAACCTGAGAGTCTAAAGTGAGTGGTCGAAATATCTTGATTGTGTACTTGACTAATATGTATGCGTGTGTGTGTGTGTGTGTGTGTGTGTGTGTGTGTGTGTATGCATGTGTGTGTGTGTGTTTCTGTGTGTGTTTATATGTGTATGTGTATGTTGGGGACAAAAATCTCTTTAAAAATATTTTAATGATTTTTAAAAAAATTAAGTAACCTCAATTGTTTGAAAGTCTGAAATTCTCCCTGAACTGTACCAATGAAACTGAAAATTCCGTCTTTGCGACATTGTTATATTGCTTGAGCAAAACATTTGGGATCCTTTTGCTTTAGATGTTTTATCGGACTTTCAAAATTCCAGGTATCTAAATTGAAAAAATGATCCATATAAAGATCAATAACTCATTCATCTTTGGACCAATTTCTGCCAAACATGAAGCAAATAACTTTTAACTGAGGCTGCATCAAATTGTTAGTATGAAGAAAATCGGTGTACATGTTCGAGAAATATTGAGTTTTAAATATGTCAAATAAATTGAGTGAAATGCAAAACATTGCAGCTTCAGAAAAATCAACCATAATGTGTAGGCCCTATCTGTGCGTTGAGGAACATATACTTTGCATAAAATTGACTTTACCAAACAAACTAATGAAATGTGATGATTATTAATTTTAGATTGCATGCTCCAGGTGTTGACCATTTCGCTCCAGACGAGTTCGAATTCCCCACTGAAAATTTTGAATAACAATGTGGCATATTTATGAGTCGAGCCTCCAGTTAAACATTGGGTTTCAACTGTTCGATTGTTAGTGAGTTGTTTCCATATATTTTGTCAGTCGATGATCAAAGGGGTTCAAGTCGGGGGAATACGGTTGCCGCTCATAGGTAAGCTTTCGGCTTGTGAGAGCAACTTTTGGTGCAAGAGGTTGTCTCCACCCTGCTGGAACCAGACCTTCTCAACAGCATAATCACCCC